CTGTTCTGCTCCCCACTCTGTCTCTGGTGAAGCCTCTCACCCCCCCCCGCACCTCTGGCCTGTACCCCAGTTCTGTATGCATAAATAAATAAATCTTAAAAAAAAAAAGCAGGCAGAAATAATTAAGAGTGAGAGAAATTAGAGAAGTGGTTACTTTTGAAACCCAGGCAGGAAGGGGACACAAAGGGACCATGTGGGGTCTGGGATGTGTCGCCTTGGATCGGCCGTGCTTCGCGAGGGTGTAGGATTGTTCACCGAATCCTGCCTGACAGCTGGTGACAGTGAATCCGCGAATGTTCAAATATCAACAGAGATTTTCTTTATCTATGAAGAAAGTAGGTCCCAGTGGAGAGGAGCCGGGCTCCCTGACACTTGGGCAGGGAGGGAGTCAGGGTCCTGCCTCCTCCCACCGGCAGCCAGACCCCCTTCCATCACCACAGGCCAGTCTCCCCTGTGGGGTCTCACATCCCATAGGAGGCCCCCAGAAACCAAGGAAGATTTTCTTATTTTATTTTGCTTCACCTGCTCCTTGTTTGTTTTTAAATCATCAGCAACTTTGGGATTTTTTAAAAAAAGATTTATTTATGCATACAGAACTGGGACACAGACCAGAGATGCAGGGGCAGTGAGAGGCTTCACCAGAGACAGAGCGGGGAGCAGAACAGGCAGATCAATGAAGGACACTGCTGACGGGAGCAGCGGGTGGGTCTGGAGAGGTCTGTTGTGCCCTGTGGGTCACCTCTGGGGTGCAGGCACGGATCAAACTCATGCTGAAGTGTCTTTAGCCTCCCAGTGCTGTGCTTTAACCCGCTGCGCCCCCAGGGAGGGCCTTTTTTTTTTTTTTTAATCAAACTGTATTGATTACCCTCTGGCCACTATCTTCCTGCACACCTTGACAGGTGCTTCCCTCCCCCACCCACGGCACCAGACCAGGACCCTTTCACAGACCCCCATCCTGGTATCCCTCCCCAGCTCCCCTCCCCCACCACCATGTGTTTCAGAGTTATTTTTGTTGTGTTTTGTCAAATTGTTTTCTTTGGTTATTTATAGTCAACAAAACCATCTGTCATTTTCTTTCAATTTCTGACTCATTTCAATCAGTGTAGTTACCCGAAGAACATCCATATTGTGGCAAAAGGCAGGATTTCATCTTTTTTAACAGCTGAGTAATATTCCACGGGGGCGGCAGGCCACCCTTCCTTATAGCCCTCCACCTGGCGTTTAGCTGATTCCATGCTCTGGCTGTTGTGAGGATGCTTGTGAACACAGTGCTCATGTCTCTTTGTATCAGCGTTGTCATGTTTTTTGGTAAAACTCATGCCTTTTGCGGCAATGTGGATGGAGCTGGAAGGGATCATGCTTAGTGAAATAAGCCAGAAAGAAAAAGAAAAATGCTGGATGGTGTCACTCATAGGAGGAGTGTAAGGGATCAGGGGGAAAAATAAAAGCAACTGTAATAAAGTAAAAATGAACATGAACTGTCAACTATAAACCAGAGACATTGTATGAGGAGGAGAGGGGAGCAGAATCAAAACCGGAGCGGGAAGAGCACACGGGACTCTGGTGATGGCACAGGGGTGAAGGGGTGGTGGGAAGTCCACGGGGTTACAACCGAGATGAAAAAAAAATGTGCAAAATGAAGAATGATGTTAATGTGCATGCACGTGCGTATAGGTAATTGCCAAAAAATAAAGAAAAAAAGCAATATTCAGATAGGAGGGGGAAAACCTGGAAGTGTAGCATTTGCCTCTGTAATTTTCAAGAAGCTCTCATGTGATTTTCAATAGAATTGTCACCAGTTTACATTCTTAGACATCACTGACTTTAAACTTGAGCACTGGTACCTTCTGGTAACTCACTCACAGGCCAGCTCCCTGCGGGCCCTGGTCACCCAGGACTGGGGGAGTGTGGGTGCTTGTGCCTCTCGAGCTGGGAGGGGGAGCCAGCCCCCAGGGGGGAGCCCCAGTGGGAGCAACGGGCCCCTGAGGGAAGGAGTTAAGCCTTCACCACTCACAGCCTTGGTGGGAGCAAGATGGCGGGAGGAACTAGGCTTTCGGTCAACAGGGCATAGCAGATACAAAAGTTCAATTGCGCCGGAAGCCCTGTGGCACCACAAGTCAGTGTTACTTTGATAAAAGTTTATTCTTAAAAAAGTGTAAAGCAGGAAGCACTGATGCCCCCTGGTAGGTTCCCCCATAGAAAGGGTGTCCAGGGTCAGGTGGAGACTTGCTGTTGAGGGAGCCAGACGAGAGACACGGCCCTTGACCCTCGGGCAGGGGGAGAGGGAGGGCGGAAGACTCCGTGTGTCCGGGAGGACAGGGCTGAGGAGAACAGGAGATTCTCTTACCCCACCAGGAGGCCTCTGGGGAGAAGCCTGGAGAGCATGGCCAAGACCCATGAGAGGCCTAGGAATGCAGATGTGTGCTGGAGCGTGAGGGGCTGAGGCCCCTGAGCCCAGCGTGGGAGGGCAGGGAGAGCTAGCTGTATCATCACTGTGCTTCGGCCTGAGACTCACACGCAGCTGTTACCCACGAGCCCCACCTGTGTGCGTTTCCTGTCCTGTCTTGGTGGGCAGGGAAGGCTTTGCCCTTCCCTCAGGGCAAGAGCTGGAACTCCCCAAGCCTGGGCAGGAGGACCCCTGCCATCCTGGAGAGCCCCACTCCTGTGGTCCCCCTCAGACCCGGAGCACCACCAGGCCGAGGGCGGCCCATGACCTATTGACTTCTTCCCTGCTGATGTTTGTATATCACTGGCAATTTGGGGGTGTCTGGTTTTATCAGATTTTATTAATTTAATGTTTGTAAGCAGGGCCCTTTCCTGAAGGACTCCTGGTGACCAGGCCTAGATATGGCCCCTTTGGGGGTCCCAACCAACAGCCCGGTCACAGATTGAGAGAGAGGAACCTGGAGAGGACAGGCTGAGTGGAAGCACCCGAAGACCAGCAGGGCCGCCCCAGCTCTGGGTGGACACTGCACAACCCCCTTACTCCAGGGCAGGAGTGTGGACATCATGTGGGCAGTGCTACCACCACACTGCCCTCCGGCCTACATTGTCTCACCTGGAAAGGGCACTTCAGAACACTCCTCCTGGCCAGGTGTGGCCCTGTTGGCAGGAGGACAGCAGAAAACAACCAGGTCAAGAGCCAGTGGCTTCCTCAGAGTCCTCCAGGCTCTCTTCTCTGGGACTCGACCTCTTCCTCTCTCTGGCTACCTTTACTCAGGAGAAATGGCCCTGCCTTTCCTTCTGCCTCACACTCCAGTGTGGCTCTGCACAGAACTGTTACTGAAACTTTTTTTTTATTTTCTTTTTTTGCTTTATTTTTGTTTTTTTTTTTTTGCAATATACCATTTAAAATATTATTTATCAGAATGGCTGAATGTTTTGGTGCCTCTTCCATCTTGCACCTCATGAGTGCATTATTTACTCTGCCTTAATCCCAGTTGCTAGGCTCAGGGAGTCATTCATTCATTCCACACAGTCTGCTCTGTGCCAGGGATGGTGCTGGATGTTAGGGAGAGAAAAGCGCACCAGAGAGAGGGTACAGCAGATAGTAGTGGGGAAGCCCTGGGGCCTAGGGGGACAGTGTGAGGAGGTACAAGGGGGTAGGACACCAGAGCAATGAAAATAATGCTGCAACTCTTGGGGGCCAGGCTCGGAGCTAAGGTCTTGCACGCAGTCTCTAGTTCCTTCTACAGCCTTCTGTGTTTGTAGATGCTTCTCTATAGGTGGGGTTGCTCCAGGGACCTGGAGAAGTTCCAGGCAGGTGATTTTCACAGGCCACATTCTGAGCAGTAGAAGAGAAGGGGGTCCAGCCCAGGACCGCCTAGATCTGTGCAGCCTCCTCCCACGGCCATCCCCGCATATCTGGGAAGGCTGCATGGAGGTACTTTGCATTGAGTCAACAGTTAGTGGCTGCGTAGGAGTTTACAGGAGACAAAGTGGGTAGAAGTGGTTTTGGCAGAGGGAACAACACCTACAAAGCCAGTAAAACTTAGAAAAAAACTTGGTGTCCATGTTTCTAAGAAGTCTGGCAATTTATGAGCAGTCTCTGGTGGAGAAATGGGCTGGCCAGCATCGCTTCCTCTTTTTGTTGTTTCCTAACAACGTCAGCATAAATAGGAAGCCTGAGAGACTCGCTGCCCCCTGGAGGCTACAGCAGAAGGTTCGTCTGTCCCCACTCCGAGAGGTAAGGTCCAGTTTTGGGGGCAGATTGGAAGGTGGGTGGGGAGCAGGGGGAATGTGGGGAGACTGGGATGGAAAAAGGCAGGGAAAGCTTGGGAATGATGAATGGGCAGCGTGCTCTAGGGACTTGAGAAGTTAGGGCTTGGCCTCTTGGGTGACCTAAGCCCGGACTCCTTGGGCAGCTGGTAAGCAAGGAGACACCAGGATTGTCAACCTGCCTGGGTGGTATGCAAAGGGCTTCTAGGGGCCAGGCCTGTCCAGTGGAGTCCAGCTCTCTCAGCAGCAGGGAGGATGCCTGGGGTAGTGGGGAGCTCAGGCCTGCGAGTCTGTTTTATCACAAAATTGTCACGAAGGCGTAGTGAGAACATCCTTACCCTGCCCTGTGTTTCTGTTTCCTCAACTCTGGAATGCAGAGAACACCCATAGGCCCTCATGTTCTGGTTTGGAATGTGGGTGGGTGGGTGTGAGATTATGGGGGTGCAGGTAGGCTGGGAGGCAGAGGATGAATCCTGGAACTTTGCTGTCCTTGGGCCCCGAGCTGGTGCGCTGGGGGATAGCAAGAGTCCTGTTCCTCGCCCGGACACTGTACTTTCCCCGAAAGGGTGATTTTTAAATCACACTCCACCCTAGATACTGTTGTGTATTTGGGCTTCGGTCCAGATATGTGTGTTCTGATTCCAGGTGTGTGGGCACTGGGTGTGTCTGTGTCAGGGTGGGTGCAGGAGGGTGCACTTCCCTGTGGAAGGGAGCACAGATGTTTCTGTGGGTCCAAACTGGGGTACAAGATGGTGGGGCTTGCCAGACTGGCTGCAGGGAGACTCACGGAAGTATAAGTTATGCATGTTCAAGCCCCTCTGTTAGAGTTTTGGGTAGCCAGATTCTAGCTTCTCTACTTAGCACCTGTCCTGGTTTCTGATCACATAAGGAATTCAACGTTCCCTATCCGCTCTTGTCACTGTCGTCCCCCTAGGTTTTACTTACCTTCTGCTCTTCCCACCAGCGCTGCAGGACTGTCTGTAGCTGCTCAGTGAGCATTTTTGATATTAAATGCAGACACCAGCTTTATTAGAAGCTAGAATGAGCCAGAATGATGCGGCATACAGACAAATCCCCATCATCTCTGTCCTCTAGCCCACAGCCCACCCTACTCAACGCAGCGTCCTTCCAGAACACCCGAAGCTTGGAGAAGGGGAGAGCTCTTTTGCCTATAAATGGGATTCTAAGATGCACCTTGTTCTAGGCACTCATTTTTTCACCTAGTACCTTTCGGACAACTCTTAGCAATACACACAAGCTCACCCGCAGATTAATCCACAGAAGTACGCTGTGATCATCAGCTCCGGCATGACTTAAATGCCCCCAGGCACACGTAGGTTGTTTCCAATATGTCCTCACTAGTGAAAGGGTTTCTGCAGCCCTGGTTCCTAGAAACAGAGTTGCCACACAAGAGATTGCACATCTTAAATTTTCACAGATATTATGAAATCATCCTCCTTGTCACTAAGTCAACAGACACCCCAATGCTATCTGCGCACAAAGACTGGTTGGTCTTTGGGGAAATTATCCAGCCTTTCGCTTGTTCCGGAGAGTGACTGACAGTGACTTGTCCTGGCTCCCACGCTCCTCCCCTGCGCCGCGGTGACTGTACATCCTCTGAAGGTCTATCAGTTGTTTGAATTCCTTGTGTGCTTCGCATGGAAGAGCCCTCTGTTGGTTCTTCATGATTCCCTTGTCTCATTCGCATTGACTCTGGGAGCGACTCATTTATGATACGGCCTCACAGTTTATTTATATGTGCTTATCGCTTCTCAGTCAAATCTATTATATGAATTTTATTTTTGTTTTCTGGTTTTGCTGTCTTGGTCCATGGTTACCTTGAAAGAAGTAATTTTTTAGAGTGGTTAGCATTTACATTCTGACGTCTGAATTCCATGTCGATTTTGGAAGGAGCTGGATCATCTGAACTTAAAAATGCTCAGCTCGTTGTCTCCCACGTCTGCTGTGAGGAGCCCATTGCTCCTCTGTCAGCGTGGAGTGCTCAAGGCCTTTGTGACTCCCACCTCCTGCTGCTCCCTGACTGTTCTGCCTGCCTGCATCACATTCCTCATTGTTTTCCTGGGGAGCATAGCACATCTCTCTTCCTCTCTATTATCATTCAGCATCAGCTTGTCCAGTCCATTTAAACCCCTGAGGACTTTTTTGAGTTCTGATTTGATTACCTTAGTTAGAAATTGTCTCCTCAGGAAGGACTGACAGCCAGGAACGACAGGGCCGACTCCTCCTGTGTCTTTGATGCTAAGTCTCCAGCTTTCCCTTTGGCCCTCACGTGGCCACGGGATTCCAGAACACCGCTGGAACACCAGGCTCCCCTTCACCTCTTCATTTCTGAGGAGTATTTGTTCAGCCAAGAATGGCTTGTGCTTCGTCAAGTTAATTTAGACACATCTGTCAAAACAGATGTTTCCTTTTCTTTTTCAGTCTGTCCATCCGATTCCTTGGTGGCTCTCCCCCACCCCTGGCATACCCCTATGTGGCCAGAAGACGGTCTTCTTTTAAAGCCTTTGGTAGACCAGCCTCAAAAATCAGTTTTTCTGGAGTGACTTGTATTTTGCTTCTTTTCTTTTCCAGTTTTTATTCCTACTATTAAAGTTCTTCCTGAGCCTGGGGATTTGGGGGTTCATGTTAATTTTGAGTGAGAAGGGATGTATTTCCTCTTTTCTGCCTCTCCCTCCTCCACTCTCCCCTCTGTCATGGCGCCATGCTTACTGATTTTTAATTCTCACAGATAGACAACGTAAGTTTTCCATCAACACATGGGGTTGATTAGCTTACGTTTGTCCCTCTCAGACAAGACAGCTCCTGCAAAAGCTTTCAGTTCTCCTCTGCTTCTACCCTCAACCTCACAGCCAGGCCCCACTTTCAAGGCATCTGAGTTTTACTTCAACATTGTTATCATCGATTTATTGCTACTTCACACAGTAACAACTCTTCTGGCTTCATTATATGGTTTCTTTACCCGGCTGGCCACAATAACAGAGACTCTTTCTCTGTTTTTCTAAATACATTCTGAAGTAATCTATTTTTCAGGGGAAAAAAATCCCAAAACCTGTTTTATACTTTATAATTCCAAGTTGGGATTTGCTTGTCCTGGAACTTCAAAGTAAGCTTGACTTTTGATTTTTTTTTTTTTAATGATTCGAGGTTTAAACATATTATCCCTCAGTATTTTTAGATATTACTACCTATGTAGAGTTCAGGGTCACTTGTGAGAAAAACTGACCAACCAGACCCTGCTCCATTGAAAATAATCTGTTTTCTTCTGAAGTTTCTAGAATTACCCTTATATTTTGGGGTGACTAAAGAGTTCACCAACTGGGTGTGGCATTAATTACAAATGAACCTTACTCTTTCCATTGTGGACTGTCTCCTTGAAAGCCCTATGATATTTCTTCTATTCAATTGTTTTGTTTGGTTGTACATGGAAAGTCCCCAAACTATAGTGATTTAGTAATAGAGTTTATTTTTCTTACCTCACCTAAAAGATGTCCAGTGCAAGGAAGCCTCAGGCTGCTATGGCTGTTCCACACAGTGATAAGGGGGGCCCAGAGACCTGTCTTGTTGCATATGGTTTCTACCCTCCAGGTAACCGTATGGTACAAAATGGTTGCTGGGGCTCCAGCTGTCACATCCTAGTTGCAGATTGGAGGAAGGAGGAAAGGAAAGAGAACAAAAACTTGTCCCTCCTGTGCCACTTCCTTTAAGCAGCCTTTCATGGAAGGTACAACTGATGTCCTCCTGTCACCTTGCTGGACAACATTTAGTCACATGATTACTAGTGACAGGAAGGTGTAGAAAGATAAATTTTTACTTGGCAGCAATAAGCCCACCTAAGGCCTGAGTATCTGTTTCCAAGGAGGAGGGGACAGCTAGGTGGCTGACACTGTCTACCCTACCTGCCCTCAGTTGTCCCTGTCCTTAACTCCTACATGTTAGAAACCCCGGGACCGAAGTCTCAACTTTTCTCTCCAGATCCTGGCCCATTCTCCCTATCTTCAATATCTGCTTTTGTTACATGATCGTTTGTCGTGTTCATTCTGTGATTGGACCCATTACTAGGTTTCGTTGTGATTTCATACCTTCAAATCCCAGCAACTCGCTATGTCTGTTCTTTGCCTAGAGGTCAGTTCCAGGTGCTATTGCTCAAATCTCCCCAAGGGTGCAATGAAGATGTCTCACGGTTTTGTCTTGCTTTGCTTATGTCTCTGTCGCATGTCTTGTGGGTCAGCATATGTCAGGATGGACATGGGTGATACCACTGGATGGGGCAAATCAACCCCTCCTGGCATCGTGGTTAAGAGCACATAAGCTCCACAGCAAGCTGGCCCGGCTTGCGTGGTGCCCACGCGGTCATGGGGCTCTGTCTGCAAGGTGGGCTTTGAGAGTGACCTGCACACAGATGGGCCTCTGTCTGGGAGCCCTCTGAGTAGTGCCTGGTCCATGCGTGTGTGAGTGAGCGCTCATGTCCTTGAGTAACACTGATTGTTCACATAATACAGATGTCAATGTCGGTTACGGGGAAAGTCAGTTATCTGTCTCTGTAATCCAGCACACGTGTCTTTGGGCCTAGTATTTGGTCCTTTGCTTTATGCTTCAGTTATCTAAGGAAATACAGAAGGTGTTAGCTTTTTGTATATCCACCAACCTTTGCCTCTCTGATTTTTTCCCTGCTTTTAGCGTGAATAGCCTAGATTCTATGCTTTGCAAGTGTAAGATGATTTCTTACATTAAACATTAAATTACATTTAATTTTTTTACCGTTATCTTCAGTCATGTTTTCTCTCACCACCATCCTCATCCCTCCCTTTGCCTCTTCTCCTTCCCTTCTCCCTCTTGCCCTCAGGAACCTCATTTCATTCATTAGTGTCAGAAATTTCTATTGCGATTTTTTGGTTGAGTTGTCTGTATGTAAATGTCCAATACTTTTTAAAATTTTTATTTATTTATGCATACAAGAGCTGGGGTGCAGGTCAGAGTTGCGGTAGGGGTGAGAGGACTCCCCAGAGGCAGAGTGGGGAGCAGAACGGGAGGATCCACTGAAACACCCTGCTGAGGGGAGCAGTGGGGAGACAGGAGAGGTCTGCTGCGCCCTGTGGGTCCCTCCCTGGCCGGGGATCCAACTCATGTTGCAGTGGCTGCGGGCAGCTTCATGGTGCTGCGAATTAACCCTTTGGGCCGCCAGGGAGAGCCTCTGTCCAGCACTTGGTCATTCTGACTTGCTTTGCTACACAAGCCCCTCAAACTCCTCCTGTTGTGCTGAACGGTCAGTGCTTGATCTTTCCGGTGGGTGGTCACGAGTCCCATCGTGTGGCTGGACCACGCCCCGCCTGTGGGCTCTCAGGTGGTGTCCAGGTCCCGGCTGTTGGGACCAGTGCTGCAACAAGTCCCTTAGAGCATGTGGCTTTGGAGGAGATGGTTTCATGTTCTCTGGGTGGTTTGCTGGGTTCTGCAGTATTTTCATGGTCACTTTTTAAGGTAAATCCGGTTGTCTTCCAAAATGGCTGCCCTCGGTTAGGGCTTGCTCCAGTGGTGCAAAAGCTTCTCTTTCTGCGGCTCCCCAGCACCTGTTCTTGTTCAGTGAATGGCGTTCTCGCGCTGTGAGAGCATGTATTTCACCGAGTTTTCGTGTCTGCCTGTGCCGTGGTGCACCCGGCCATGAACACGCCCCGTGGACCTCTGGCTGTCGTCTGTGGTGAATGCTCTGTTCAGATCTACCCATGTATCGCCATTGTTTTGCATTTGTTTTTCGTACAGTTTGGATCGTCACCTTGTCAGATTGTAACACGTCAAGATTTGCTCTCATTCAACAGGATGTCTTTGCCGCTACTTAGAGTGTCTTTCCTTGTGCAAAAACTTTATAACTTGAAGTCGTCCTCAGTGGTTGTGCTTTTATCTCACTTGCCCTAGGGGCTGACTCTCACAACATCATGAGATGTGGAACATACCTCCACGTACCTGTGTATTGCACTGTTGCAAGTCCTTATTTCCAAAGTCTTCAATTACCCTGATGTCGGGGGTATGGTGTGAGGTAGGGCCCTACGCTGATCAGCTTCAATGTTGTTATTTACTTGTCTAGCACTTTCCATTATTCTATCAGTTCACATTGGTCAGTGACTCATCCATCCACCTACTACCCACATAGTAGATTTTTGGGTAAAATAGAGTTTATCTGGTCAGCACCACCATTGGGGTGCGTGTGTGTGTGTGTGTGTGTGTGTGTGCGCACATGCGCACTGCTTTAATGATGAAATCTTGATCGTACATTTTACGTCAGGGACAGCCTTCTAATCCTTAAGAAAAAAGTCTCATTAACTGCGCTCACATATTTCTGCTTCTGAATTCCCGCAAAAAAGCTTCTTCTTAAATTTTGAATGAAATTGCTTTAAATCTACACATTTTGGGGGAGGAACGTCTCTCTGTGCACATGTCGTATTTCTTTTGTGATAAGGCCCCACCAGAAGCTCTGGAATTTTGGGGCTCGTCTGGCTTGGCAGCCCAAGCTGTTGCAGCCCTCCCGGTGCCCACATGCCCACCCCATGGCACTGCCTGCAGCTCCAGGCACTAATGCCAACAAAAGCTTTGCCGAGCAGGCCCACTCTCTTCCTGTGCCGTCTAAGCAGCTGCACACGCCGCTGCACTGGGCTTCCCCTGACGGCTAACATTTACCCTTGTGCCCATTCTGCAGATGCAGCGAGTGAGGTTCGGGAGCTTTGCAGAGTTAGCGCCAGCAAGGGAGAGGCAGGGCTTCTGCTGAAGCACGAGTCCCCTGAGTCCAGGCCCCGCTTTTCCCAGAACACGGGCTCTGCCATGCACACACACTGCCCTTTGATCTACTCTTCTGGGTACTTCCCAGAGCTGGAGGAAATGAAAAGAGGAAACCCCCAGCTTTCTGCAGAAAAAAAGGGAACTCGAGCTGATGTGGGAGGCATGACTGCAAAGGGAGCAGGGACAGAGAGCCCCACACAGCACCAGCCCGAGGGACCCGCTTCTGCTCAGACACTGGGGCTGCTGGGCCCTCCGGGCTGTGGCCATGCGCGTCCCTGCTCGGGCTCCGGGAAGGGAGGACCAGCTCCAGCAAGCGTCTCCTTCCACAGGCCTAGAGGAAGAGGGTCCTGGAGACAGAGCCACAGGAGCACCTGACACGGCCCTGGTTCCCATTTGGGGGACACAGGGCTGCTGGGCACAGAGGACCCCGACTGAGCGCACAGCCAGACCCCACTTGTGCCAGCCCCATGTTCCTCAGGCACTGACCCGGAGATGGCACTGACCCAGGGGCTGCTCCCCATCGCCCTGCTGGCTCTGTGCTGGGGGTCGAGCATTGCCAGGCACCAAGGTGAGCCCCATTGCCCCCTCCCTTCCCTGTCCCCCTACTCAGCTGCATCCTGGCATTGATGCCCCCCACCCCGCCCCACTTCCAGGAAGCCCCTGGCCATTCCCCTCCCCTTTCTCTCTCCTGCCCCTCCTTCAGTTCTCTCTCCCTGACCTTGCCTGGCCCCGCCCCGCACCCCCACACTCCTTAGCCCTGTAGGGCCACTCACTGTGGTGGCCCTGGACACCTCCAACCTCCCACAGCCTGTTCCAGAATCTTCTCTGCCCGCCTTCCCACAAGGCACCTGCTCCCCTGACGACCTCGATGGGTTCCCACCTCTGAACCTTTGCTGCTGGGGACCCCTGAGCCCCTGTGGTGTCTCCCTGTTCTGGCCCCAGCTGGGTGCTCCTCGGGCTCCTGAGGCCAGTGACCCCTCACCCAGGGCTCCCAGAGAACGTGGCTTCGGGTCACCCTGCCAAGCACATCCTCTTGCACACATCAAGCTGGGGTGCACCCTGGGGACCAGGGCAGGCAGGTCCCAGAGAAGGCTGTACCCCACTACCTCTTGGGGTGGGTCTGTGCCCGCATCCGATCCCACCAGCAGCGCCAATGGGACAGGGCAGGCCCGCGCCTGGTGCGCATCCTGTTCTGGGGTCCCGGGGGCCCGGACTAGGGGGACCCTGCTCCCGGAGTAGAGCGCAGCGGGGCTCAGGGTGTGAACCAGCCAGAACACTGGAGGCCCAGGGAGAGGGAGGGTCCACAGCCAGGGTCCTCCCGGCCCAGAGCCCCCGCCCCTGCCCAGGGCCCCCGGGGTCCTGCCTGGTAGTCAGGAGCCTCACAGGATCTGGGGAGCCCCTCAGTGCCAGGGCCTGGGAAGGGCCGGTGGGCGGGGACGGGGGCCCTGGGCGGAGGCGTGACCCTCCCTGCCTGTCTGGGCCCAGGGACCATCCCGCTGCGGACCCTGCAGTGCCTCAACGACTACACCAGCCGCATCGTCTGCAGGTGGGCGGACCCCCTGGCCATGTGGGGGCTCCTCAACCTCACCCTCCACCGCAGCCTGAGTAGGTGAGTGGGCGTGTGCTGGGCCTGGGGCTGCCCGCCGGGGCTCCCCAAGGGCCGAGGGGAGCCCTGCCCCCAGCTCGGGCTGGCACCGAGGGCGGAGCCCCGCTCTCCACGGCGGTGGTGCCGGTGAGCCGCGAGCCCCGTCCATCCTACGAGGGCACACAGTCGCCCCACAAGGAGGGGGGCTCTGACGCCCAGGCCACATGGGGCTGGGCTCGGAGGGGGCTCCCCTCCCAGCCACACGAGGGTGCGGACCCAGGGAGCAGCGTCTTGGGGGGTCAGGGCTGGCTCCACCCGTGGACCTGCTGCCCCGGGTGGGGGTGTCCTTTCTGCTCTCGGGGTGTCCAGGACATGCGACGCTTGAGAGGGGCCTGGCCAGAACTGAAAGAGTTAAACAGCTGGTGTCACAGAGTCCTGGGCCCCCAGGAGGCCCCTGGGAGGAGCCCAGATTCACCCTTGCTTTACCTTCAGTTCTCTTTCCCAGGCGCCTACGCTATTCCTTCTCCCCTTGCCACCCCTGCGCCCCCCAGCTGGCCCCTGCTCTCCTGCACCGAGACCCGGGAACGCCCCCAAAGTGCAGCCCAGGCCCCTCCCTGCCCTCAGTGCCCGACTCCTGCCCCTTCCCTGGGTCCGGCCTGCTGGGACCCCGTGCAGGCGGGTCTGAGCCCGAGCCTCGCTGCCCAAGGTCAGAACGACCACCCTGTGGTCTCTGTCTCTGGCGTCACACCCTGTCACCCGGCCAGCGAGCCGGGCCCACTGCCGGTGTCCAGAGGACGGAAGCTCGGCACCCTGAGCCTGTCCTCCAGCTGGTGACCTCTGTGGGGACACTCCTCTAAGGGCCATCTAGCCCTCTGTCGCCAGTGGCTTTCCAGTTATTCTCTCCTGAGCACCTCATCCAGGACTCTGCTGCACCCCACAGGCCGCCCCACTGCCCCTTGAGAGGTAGCCAACCCCTCCCCGTGGGCATCTAGCGGGCAGCTCGGCTGGACAGCCACAGCCCACCGCGGCCCTGCCCTTGCCTGGCCCAGGCACACTCAGGACCCCGGTCGCTCTGGCCCTCCCTCTGTTTCCTGGCCAGCTCCAGGGGTGCAGCGCCCCACGCCAGCCCGGGGGCTGCAGCCCTCACTGTCCTCTCCAGATGCCCGCCAACCCACTTCAGGCTCCAGCTGGTAATTCACGTGCTTTGTCCAGCCCACACCCCGCTGCACACCAGACAGGGCGCATCTGGCTCCCCACCTTACTTGAGCTATTTAGTGTCTTCACCCACGATGTTTGAACCCAAACTCAGGGGGTCTCTTCTGCTCCCGTCTCCCCGTCTCACTCCACCCGAGGGGCACTCTGAGTGGCTCCAGCCGCATCCGGGCCATCAGCACGTGCTGCTAATTCTATTCAAATAAAAGGTGAATCAGGTGGACGCTACCACAACTTCCCTGGGTCCAATCACTTCCTATCATCTGGATGTTCTAGAAGCCTCTCAACTAGACCTTCAACTTCTGATATTTCCTTATAACCTGCCCCTCCCCAGCCCCACACACTCCCCCTCAACCCATCCATCTACAGTCAGCTCAGGGATACATCAGGTATGTCATTGCATGGCTAATCACGAAATTTGTATCATCAATTTGTTTCCCTTTAGAGTGCAATCCAAATTCCTTAAATTCCTTCAAAGCACTGGCTTCCTGACACCTCATCCGTCCAACCTTCTCCTCAGCCTCCCACTCTCCCTTCCTTAACCCCGGGAAGCGCCTGGTCACACTGCATTGCAAACTGCGCACACCCCAGGGCCTTTGCACGTGCTGCTTTTTACCGGAAACCCCTTTGTCCCCGATTTTCGAGTTTCTTTCTCGTGCCCTGTGAGTTTCTGCTCAGATGTCACTCCTTCCAGGAGTCCTTCTCTGTCCCTGATATCAAACTGTGGCCCCAGCCCCAGTCCCGCTGACCTCCTCATTCCTCTACCTGTGGGTTTGTCTGTATACAGCTGGCTTCATTGACACAGGACATGATACTCCCGTGGCCGCGTGTGTCCAGCACCGGGAGGGGGCTGGATTCCCGTCTCCAGCCCTGCCGGGCCCGCCCCTGGCCAGGGCCTCCTACGTGGTCTGCTCAGTAATGGTGCTGCAGATAGACTCTTCCTGGCCCAGGGCTGACCGCTCTCCCCCGCAGGGCCCCCCCCCAGCCAGTGTCCTGTGAGATCAGTGATGACAAGTCCTGGTTAGACGGCCTGTGTCTGAACTGCGTGCCCCGAAGATGCATCATTCCCTACAAACCTTTTGTCCTTTCTGATAAGGACTACTTCTCGTTCCGGGTCGACCGGCCTCTGAGCGCCGAGATCAGCGTCCCTCTGTCCCAGCATGGTGAGGCCTGGGGTCCTGGTCAGGGGAGCTCCCCTAGCGGGCAGAAGGTCCAAGCTGCAGGTCCCGGGGGCAGAGCAGGCTCCCCAGCACCTGGCCATCTTACCCTGATGCGCCGTGCGCCTGTGATGCCCGCCTCCCGCTCACAGTGGCTGCCCTGGTTTGCAGCTGAAAGGTCTGGGGGTGCAGGGATAGGGGTCTGGTCAGGGTCACTCAGCTGCTGGCCAGCCCCCACCTGGGCTGAGTCTGTCCTCCGGGCCCCACAGCCCCTCCCCCGCCTCGCCCAGCCCTCAGGGCCTTTGTTCCCCCCTGCAGTGCAGCCCCCAGCGCCCACGGACCTCCGGGTCAGCGCCTCCGGGGCCCAGGTCCTGCTGAGCTGGAGTGTAGCCCTGGGGCCTGCCCACAGCCGCTGGCTGCCAGCCCTGGACTTTGAGGTGGTCTTCAGGCGACTCCAGGACTCCTGGGAGGTAGGACCCGCAGTCCGCCGGGCGCCCTGGGGAGAGGCTGCCAGGCCCGAGCTCCAGCCCCTCTCCCCACAGGAGGCCGTCACCGTCCACTCCAGCTCCCAGCAGGCCACGCTGGGGCCCCCGCACCTGCTGCCCAGCACCACCTACTTGGCCCGAGTGCGCAGCCGACTGGGCCCGGACTCGGGGCTGTCAGGGTGGCCCAGCCTGTGGAGCCCCGAGGTGCGCTGGGACTCCCTGCCAGGTGAGCAGGGGCTGGCGGCCGGTGTGTGGCCCGGGCCCCTGGGGCGCTCCCCGCCGGCAGCCAGAGCCTCACAGGAGGAGGGGACCGGCCGAGTCCGGGGAGAGGGGCTTCGGCCTGTGCGCTCAGCCAGGCCCTGCAAGTTGAAGCCGCTTGCTACTCGCTCCTGGGCCCGTTTCCGGGCCCTTCTGTCCAGAAGCCCGCCACGGCCCGGGCCCGCAGGGGAGGTCTTTGTCCTGCAGCTGCCGTGCCCACAGCCGACAGCGTGTGTCCACCCCCAGGGCTGCGTCCCCGTTGCCCAGGCGGCGTGGAGCCTCTGGGGTTTGCACCCTGACCCGCGTCACAGCTGGCGGCCCAGGGGCCCTCTCACCCTGGCCCCAAGGCCCTGGTCTCTGTGGCGACTCACGGCGGTGCCCCGGGAGCGGGCAAGGGCGGGAGCGGGGTGCATGAGGGACGGTCTGCCCCCAGGGGACGAGGCTCAGCCCCAGAATCTCCGGTGCTTCTTCAACGGGGTCGACGCGCTCAGCTGCTCCTGGGAAGTGAGGAACGAGGTGACCAGATCTGTGTCCTTCTCCCTCTTCTATAAGTCCAGCCCGGACGAGGGGTGAGTGTCCCCAGAAGACCGGGCTCTCCCCGAGCTCTCCCTGCCTGCGCCCTCCCCCGCCTCACCTCCCCGTGATCCCCAGGGAGAGGGAGTGCTCCCCTGTGCAGAAGGAGGTGCTGCAGAAGGCGCCCGACTACACCCTGCACCGGTGCAAGGTCCCCGTGCCCGACCCCCACAACTGCAGTCACTACACCGTCTCTGTCCGGCCCAGGGACGAAGGGAAACTCATAAAGAGCTCGGACAACAGTGAGTCTGTCCCCACGGCCCGCGCAGTGGCCTGGTCCCGTCCCGTGCTCCGGGGCCCCGCGCCCGCCTGCACCCTGTCTCCGCACACGCGGTCAGGGCGCAGGTGAACAGCAGGTCCGATCGCTCGGGGAAGCCTGGGGAGGTGGGGAGAGGCGGGCACAGTGACATGGAGGCGCTGAGAGGCGGCTGGTCGCCCCAGGGCCAGCTCCCACGTTTCTCCGTTTTCTCCCAGTCACGGCTGGCCCTGTCTCCCTCTGTGCCCGGCCCCGGAGCCTCGCCCCAGCCCGCCTCCGGCTCCCGCGTCTCCCTCTGCCTCCTATGGGACTCTGCAGGCCCCGAGCCCTCCCCGGCTGGGGTCGTTCCTCGGTGAGGGCCCCTCAGTGGCCCTGGTGCCTGAGACCGCTGCCCCTTGCGGGTCAACATCGCTGCTTCCTCCCGGGCAGAAGGACCCCTGGCCGGGCCGCCCGCCCTGCTCACGATGCCCGCGTCCTCCCCGGGCCGGGAGTCCGCCCAGCCCAGCAGCCAGGGCCTCGTCCAGCCTGAGTCCTCCGCTCCTGCCGCGCTGGGGTGTACCTGCTGCCCCGCCATGCTGGTGCCTGTCGGGGGCAGCGGCTCTGGGCTCGGCCCTCCTCCCTCCCGTGTCCGGCCCAGGCTGAGGCCCCGGGAGCTGCCATCGTGGGAGTAATCGTGCACCCTGAGCTGGCGCCTCCAGCCCACGGCAGGTCGCGACTCTCGAATTAACCCACCCATGGGGATTTTAGTTTTTCTTAAGCACTAGAGTCACCCGGGCTCGGTCGCCTCAGCCAGCATATTCCAGCCTCTCCCCAGGGAAAGGCTGATGAGGTCAAGACAGATGACCCAGTGACTGAGAGACACAAAGGCCCCATGGGGGGCCCGAGGTCAGGGCCCAGATGGCCCTGACTGGCTCGCACCCGGAATGTCCCCCCAGTCCAGCTGGAGCCCCCCACCATCAACGTGACCCAGGGCGCAGATGGCTACATCCTGCACTGGGCAGCAAAGAAAATGCCCTATGACCACATCGGACACACCTTCGAGGTCCAGTACCGGACGGACGCGGCCTCCTGGGAGGTACGGGCTGCCAAGGGTCCGTGTGGGCGTGGGGGCACCGCACTCACCACACCCGCAGCCGGGGGCTGGCTGCTGATGACCCTGCGTGATCAGCAGGTCCCGGGCGAGGCCCGAGGCTGGGACAGGTGAGGTGACCTGTAGACGCTGTGTTGCAAAGGGGTGTGGCGGTCAGGGAGGGGCGGCTGGAGATGCCAGATGGGGTGTTGAAGAGGTGCCAAGTTCAGACAGGGTGCAGCCCAGGAGGCCGCCTGGGACCCTCCTGGGCATTTTGAGCTGGTCCTGATGGGGCAGGGGGCCCGGCTCCAAGTGCAGGCTCCAGCCCCAGCATCCTCGGGGCCTGTGTGCGGGACCCCGGCCTCCAAAAGCCCCCAGAGGAAACCTCAGATCATGCCAGGATCTCAGAATGGAAATGGGAGCAGGAGGGAGTGACCGGGGGGCCCGGCTGGAAGAAGGTCAGATGCCAACCCCAGGCCAGGGCTCCAAGCCAGTGTCCTCACTGCATCCTGACAGTCTATGGTTGGCTCGTGGCTGCCATAAAGCCTCTGAGGAGTGTCAAGGAGCAGGGACACGTGACTCCCCAGGTTTCTGGCTCCCAGTGCGTATTCCTGGAGCTGCCATATGGGGTCTACGCAAAGCACGGTTGCTTCCGGGTCCGGAGTGGGGCCTCCCCAGTGGAGAGCCACCTCACCAGACCTGAGGATGCAACTTTATCTGGGGCCTGGTGCAGACAGCAAAACTGGGGTGCTGGGGTGGAAGTGGCAGGCATGTCCCTAGTGGCCAGGTAACTTTTCAGCCTCGGCAGATTTGTTTACGGACCTGACTCACAGGATACCAAGGCGGATTTGCTCCAGAATGCCCACAGTATGTCCCTGCCACACCTGGAGTCATCCACCAGATACTGGGCCAGGGTGAGGGTCAAGCCCACCCCCAGTGACTACAACGGCGTCTGGAGTGAGTGGAGTGATGACTGCTTCTGGGACACGGAGTGGGGTGAGTCTCCCAGCCCCACCTTAGGGCACAGTCCGGATGGACAGAGGACAAAAGTGGTCAGAGGTCACACAGATGTGACCACACGCAGCCTGAGCATTTGCCCTCCCGGAGTCACTGCTCATTGGAAAGAGCCCGCTGATGTGAAGCAGAGGAACTCCTGACAGAGCACAGGGGAGGGTTTCACCCCTGCTCCTCCTTCACACTGGAGTGGAGGCCTCTAGTAATATGACCATGGTTCATTAGGCTCTTGGGCAGTCACAACCCAGAAGAGCACTGAGTCCGAAAATCCTGTTACCATGACAGCAACATCAACCCACTAGGCCTGGGATGGAACTTTTGTCTGATCTTGACCTCCCCATGTCCCTGCTCTGGCTGCTGTCATTTGCCATTGCCTTCGTCAGACTGGCCACCAGAGCACCCACACAGGACCGGGTCTAGGACCCGGCTGCAGAGTGGGGTATGTGACCCAAGGCCCCCTGTGACCCAGTCTGCAGGCCAACAGGGAACGCCAACCCAGGCCCTTTTGCTGTCCTCTCCCTCCCCGGCCCCCCCACTCCCCAGTGGGAACCGGAAGGGGCATCACCACAGACCGGGCTCCAGGCCTGGATGGAAACCGCGGGCAGGTTTTGCCTGGACTCGCAGGACGCCCCTGCGTCCCACGTGTCCTCTGCACGTCCCTGACCTAGCAGCAGGGAAGGGGCGCCATGGTGACGCTGGTGGGCAGAGACTGGGCGGGGTCCGCAGGCGGCACCGAGCTGGCTGCGTCCTCACCGCCAGCACAGGCCCTGCAAGGCGGCCTTGGCTGACCTGCCCAGGCTCTGCCAGTGCCCTGCCCAGCCCCCAGGCCCCGGCCTTCCCTGCCCAGAGCTAATGGCCTGCCCCCTCCCACGCCCCTAGAGCTGCCCACATGGGTCTTGCCCCTCTTCCTGGTCTTCATCACTCTGGCCTTGCTCCCGGCCCTGCGCTTCTGCCACACCTACTGCTACAGGTAAGGGCCCATGTGGTGGGGTGGGGAACCGACCCCGGGTCCCCAGGACCCCAGAGCCCACTTACCCAGATTCAGCCCGTCCCCCACTTCCCGTGCGGCTCGGACCCCCGCCCCTGTCGTAGGCCTCAGTTTCCCCTTGGCTGGGGCGGGGCAGCGCCGAGGTCCCAGTGGCCTTCACGCCCTGCTGCTTTCCAGGTTGAACCAGAAGTGGGAGGAGAAAATCCCTAACCCCAGCAAGAGCCACCTGTTCCAGGTAGGGCCAGGCTGGGAGGGGCTGGGCGGCTGGGCCCTTGGTCTGGGCCCCTGTGCCATGGCCGCGCCCCTGCCACGGCCCTCCCCCCATGGTGCCGAGTGGGCACAGAGGCGCCGGGAGGAGGCCTCAGCGCTGGGGCTGGACCAGACCTGCGGCTCAGACCTGTGCTCCGACCCGCACCAATACAGGCCCTGGCCGATGCGCTCCCCGGAGCAGGAGCAGCCATGGGGCCCCCAGGAGTCCAGGGCAGGCTCAGGGAGGGTGAGCTCTAGAGGGTGGGCCTCAGCCCCGGGGACACATGGCCCCCCACGCCAGCATGGGGGCGCTGTGGAGCCCGAGATGCCTCCGCTCAGGCCTCTTCCCTCTGGCTGGGGGCAGAGGCAGGTTGTCCCTGCTGAGAACCTCCCTGTGGGGGACTCCAGGACCCCTGTCACCCCACAGTACCCCTTCTGCACCCCGGGGCCCACCCCACAGGCACACATGTCCTTTCTCCCCAGAACGGGAGCTCAGGTCTCTGGCGCCCCAACAACCTGCCGACCCCCGGCCACGGCTGCCCCCCTCTCAAGGGTCCCTGGGACAGCCTCACCATGGAGCCGCAGGGGTGAGTATGTGGTGTCAGGGTGCCTTGGAGGCTGAGGGGTGCCCGGCCATGCCCACTGTGGCTCACAGCCACCGCCAGTGGCCAGGCGCCTTGCAGGGCCCTCACCGAGCCGCCGGGCTGGTGGAAGAGCACAGGCCCAGGCCAGGGAGTGAGGGCCCCGCCCGCAGCTGGAAGGGCCGGAGATGGAGCAGGCCTCCGCTGGCCAGGAGAACCCACACCTCACCAGGGCCAACCCCGCGCCTCAGCACCCCTGGGCTGCTCAGCTGGCCCCCAGGACCGTGATGCTGGGGTGAAGCAGGAGGGAGGGGGACCACGGGCGGGCATTGACCTGGGTCCGAAGACGTGCGGGTGCCAAGGAGCAGAGGGGAGAGGGGCTTCAGCTGGCACAGGCGACCCTGACTCGGAGATCCCGCAGCCAGGGGGCTCTCAGCTTGCCCACTCTGGCTGCTCCTAGCCTGCTCTGTGCCCTCAGGGGCCCCCGCAGGAGCTGAGGACCAGCCCAGGGTCCCAGCATCTGTGCCCCTATCTCCCCACAGCGTGTTCTCCGTGGACTCTGGGCACATCAAGGTGTCCCTGCTCACCACCCAGGACCCCAAGGATGCTGCTGACTCCCCTTGGGAGCCTGACGCGGGCCCAGCTGCTGCAGACCCGGCCCCGGCCCCGGAGCCGCCTCCCAGCCCCTCGCCCGGCCAGTCAGCCCCCTCCAGCAGACCTAAGGGCCAGGCTTCTGGCTTTGACTTTGATGGCCCTTACCTGGGCTCTCCCCACAGGCACCCCCTGCCAGACACGGAGGGCACGCTACTGCCCCCGCAGGCTGGCCTGAGCCCCAGGCCGCAGCCTCCCCAAGGGACCCTGCAGTACATGTGTCTGCCTCCAGGGGAGCAGGCGAGGCTGGTCCCTCTGGCCCAGGTCATGGGTCAGGGCCAGACCCCAGCTGCGGACAGCAGGCCCTGTGCAGGGACTGAGGGGGGCCCCTCGCTGCAGCCAGGCACGGACCCCCCCGCCTCCGCACCTGGGTCCACGCCTGGGCTGGCGGATCCCAAGGACGGCCCTCCAGCTGTGCCCGCCGGCTCTGGGCACCCCGAGGACAGTGTCAGGGTCTCTGGCTATGTCAGCCCTGCTGACCTGGCTCTGTCCCTTCCCACGGGGACCTCCTCTACCCTCCAGGCTCCTCCCCTGGGCCTCCCCTCGGAACGGCACCCCAGCCTCAATCCTGCCCCAGCCAGTACCCCCTCGGGAGGCCCAGCTCCCGTGAAGCCAGAGCTTGAGGGCTATGTGCAGCTGCCCCCGCCCGCAGGCCAGCTCCCCATGTCCCCCCAGGCCAGTCCCACGCCTCCAGTAGCCACTGGTCCAGACCTGAGCCCAGGGCCGCCCTCAGCAGATGTGAACCCCACCTCCCCACACTCTGAGGGGCTGCTGGTCCTGCAGCAGGTAGGTGACTACTGCTTCCTCCCCGGCCTGGCCCACAGCCCTGTCTCCCTCAAGAGCAAGCCCTCTTCTCCTGACCCTTGTCCCGAAGCCCGGGACCAGGTGTCCCTGAACAAGAAGAATTGGTGTCCGGCCACGCCTCAGCTGCCAGCCATTCAGCTCTTCAAAGCCCTGAAGCAGCAGGACTACTTGTCTCTGCCCCCTTGGGATGGGAGCAGGCGGGGGGAAGTGTGCTGAGGCCCCACCGCACAGCAGGCACGCGGAGGGCCTGTGCTCTCTCCTGCCGCCCGTGTCCTGCACCCCCAGCCTTCCAGGCTCCTGGCGGCCAAGCTTAGAGGCGGCTTCCGAGCTGGACCAGATGCATGGGGGGATGGAACGCCTCCCATCTCACCTGCCCCCCTCCCCCCATCACTGCTCTCCTCTGTCTCCCACATGCTCCCTTCAGAGGTGGCCGCTAACTGTGTTGAGAACGGGGTCTGTGGTCTGTCGCTCTGTGGGTCTGATGCAGGTGGCGCACCACACAGAGGTGACTGAGCCCCCGGGCGGCAGGAGGCAGGAGGCCGGAGGCCCCGGGCAGGGCCTTGGGCTCAGAATGGAGCGGCTGGGCAGATCTTGCCACTTCAGGAAATTTGCGTGGTGGAGGCAAGCGAGGGAGGAATGTTCCTGAGCTCTAGGGAAGCCCTGTGGGTCTCTTGAGATGCCCAGCACCGCTGATCCACAGATTGGCCAGGGGCACAGCGTGAGGGTCTGGCACCTGGTGCCACCCAGGATCACCAGGGAGTGATACCCTGCTGTACCCAGGCCTGGGAGATTCGGGAGGACAGATTCTAGAACCCATGCCTGACGTGGAAAAGTTAGACACAACTGCCCAGCGAAAGGGCATGTATATTTTAGGGCCTGTTGTCTGACTCGCCGGCTGACCTTCCCCGAGAAGGACCTGACCCCGGCAGCCCCACAGCCATGGGCCGGGGGGCTTGGCCTGGGTCTGGGCTTGTGGGCTTTTAAGTCCTTGCCTTTGCCTAGGGGGGAAATAGCATTAAGTTGCTTAATTTTGTGTTATTAGATTACTCTCAAGTTTGCACATGATTTCATATCTCTTATCGGTGTTTTATTCACCGGGCTTAAAAGCTTACAAGTTTTAAAGACTGTTCTGCAAGGCTCTCATCTTTTTCTGATGTTGTCATTAAAACGCGGAACACCCAGCCTCTTGTGAAGGCTGCTGCCCTGTTCGCTCTTGTGAAGGCTGCTGCCCTGTTCGCTCAGTTTGTGCTTGTCTGGGATTTCCTGACTGAGTCTCTGAGGGCATTCTTTGTGGTCAGACCTCACACTCCCACTTGTGAGGTCAAATTTACAACCCGTCCCCCCGCCAACACACACACACACACACACACACACATACATACTCCAAGCCAGCACCTGTCCTGTCCTCATTTTTCTCCCAGTTCTGTGTTTTCCTAATGATGTGAGGAACGGTCATGTCTGAACGGAAAGCGAGGGGGTGTTTTGGCATCGTTGGCCAAATCTCCCCTTCTTCCAAAATGCCACCTCTAGGATGTAGAAAGCCCACATGTATAGTTGATTTCTGAGCTTTTAATGTTATGAATCATTCTCTCAACGGCTTTATGATGCGTTAACACCAGGCGGAGCGAAGATTTTGTCAGTGCTCTTCACAGATCACCATTCAGTACACCAGTGTCTGTCATTGAAGGATATTAATAAACAACGTAAATGTTCACTAATATTGAGATCGACAGCAACATTCTAGAACATTCTAAAGTAGAACCCGGCGTTTGACATGAGAGCGATGGATGTACAAGTATTAGAAAGAAGTCCAAGATGTTAATTCCATACTAGGACATTGTGAATTGGGGACAAAATGGCAATAAAATATTTTTATTATAAAGCCAAACTCAGACTCGCGTCCTTGTGCCGGACCGGGGAGTGTGTTACTGGAAACCACACCGGTGTTCAGGAGGATGGTTCTGTTCAACAGAGGGGCCTCAGGCAGTCAGGGACACGGCGGGAATGCTGTGCTAACAGGGGGAGAAGCAGGATTCGTGGAAAATCCCAGGAGGGCGTGAAGCTAGGTGGGCAAGGGGAGCCATGCTCAGACGCACTCTCACTAAATTATGCTTTGTCATCGGGAACCCAGACGGAGCAGGAATCGCTCAGCGAGGGTAGGACAGCTGTGGAGAGCTTTGTCCTGGCAGGCCCCGCTCCGTGCTTAAGGGGATCAACTCCTGTCAAGGGATCTACACCAGCCTAGAGGCAGATACTGGCCCTCTGTGCTTTATTGTATTGAGGCCCCTGAGGCACAGAGGGGGTTTGGAATTTGCCCCAGGTCGCCCATCTGGACGCAGAGGCGGGCTTTGAATCCTGGCCCTGTGCTGAAGAGCTTCCCTCTCACGCAAGGCCTCTCACCCAAGTTCCATACGCTGCAGGAAACCTCATAAACCAAGCAACGTCGCCATAGAAGGAAAGGGCCGCAAATCCGCACGAATTTAAGAGACTAAAATAATAATATAAGGTCTACATCTGAGGGGGGGGGGGAAGTAAACGTTTAAAAATGAACAATGATAAATGCATATGTAAGTAAAGTTAGTCAATGAATAAATAAGAAATAGCAAAAAATAAAATAACAATATAGTTGAAACTCCATTTCTCCCTCTGATTGTTGTTTAAATGTCATTATTTTATTTATTCATTTTATTATTTATTCCGATTATTTCTACTTTACTAAATTGTATGAGCTTAGTCTATAAAATTCTTCCTGAATTAGTACGGACACCCCAGCTTTCCCCTCTTGTTTTGTGGGATAAGGAGAAGGGGAGGAGAGAGGAGAGGTGGTTTCTTTCCTAGTATTTGTATCAACTATCAATCTATTTCCCCATTCAGTGATTTAAACTCTTAATTACTGTGTGTCTTTATAAAATTAGCGGCTTTCCCAGTCAGTCATTAGTGTATGCCTCTGATTCTTGAAATAACAAATACGTGTTTTTACTTCAACTGACACATTCAACTTTGCCTAAAAGGCCATCAGCAAGCTGTTGTCATGAGAGCTTAGTCGAGGGACGCTTGCGCTCAGAAATGCACACTGAAACAAAACAAGGAAATGTAAGAAGTCGGCTGATGGTGCCAGGAGGCTAGTTTTGGGGGGCTGATGAGCAGCAGGGGCCGCCTCTGCTGTGCCCTTTCTACACGCTTGGACTTTGGTCCCCCCCACCCCCACGTGGGTGAGTAGACTTAAAAGGAGAATGAAAGGTGACTTTGCAGAATGAGTGAATGAAGGGATGGATGGTTTAAAATTTTTATTTTAAAATAAGGAGCAATTAATAGAAGGAGACTATTAGTGTCGAGATCGCTTTATCATTGAAGGAAGGGCGCAGTGCATGATGGGAGTGGGACTCGGGACCGCGGGGCCCGCTGTCGCTTCCCATCCGGGCAGGCGCCACCTGAAACGTCCCCTGTTTCTGTGGGTCCTCTTCCCACGACAGGCAGTGAAAACTGCAGCCTGGGCCAAGCCTGATCCCCACCAGGACTTCGGGGACCTCCTGGGCTGTTCTGTGTCAGAGGCCTGACCACTCTAGCCAGGGCTGACAAACGGGGTTCCTACGGGAGATCTGAGAGGGGCCTGTCCTTACCATCCAGGGGCCCAGTGAGCCCCAAGAAACTTTCAGTTTAGGAAACTCACAAAGGCATGGCTGTTGGTCCAGAGCAATCCAAAAGATGGGGTGGGGGATGGATGCCGGACCTGCTGCCCAGCACACCCCCAGTCAGGGGCCACCTTGTTGGGCTCCCCTCATGACGTCAGGTGGCCCTTCACCTTGAGCTGTACAGTGAGGGGCTGAACAGTCAGAAGTGGGGTGGCATCAGGCTGTGCCTAGGACAGGGCTGGGGCGCTGTGGCCAGATAAGCAGAGCTCATCTGGGACAGCAGGTGTGCCCGGGAGAAGGCTGGAGGCCAAGGTGCCGGCCAGGACCCGGCGTGGCCTCTCTGCACGTGGCGCTGTTTGCTCTGAGATGGGAGCAGCTGTCCCGCACCACCCCATGGATGTGAGTCTAGTGTTCTCCTAGGACACCTGTTTGTTATGCTGTGAAAGGGATCCCAGCAGCCCTGGGCTCTCTCCCGTCCTCTGCTGTGGGACAGCGGTCTCCAGTCGTGCCCTACAGTTCGGTGGCCACACTAGTGGCAGCTGCCTGTGGCCCGGGACCCCACTGCAGCCAGGTGGAGAAGCACCCCAGGCCCGGGGCCCATCCACTCACAACTCCCTTCACCTCCTAGGCTGATGACATCGGCTGAGGAAGCCTAGACCCAGGCTTGCCGCTCTCAATTTTAGGAGAAGCAGCAGAATTCCAGCCCAGAGTATTATCCTGCGACAGAATCTTGGCAAGGTGAGATGTATCCCTGCCACCCAGCGCTGAAAATCTTCCTGCACTTTGTTTCAGCAGAGTTGAGTTCAAGCTTCATGCTCGCCCCACCCCTCCTTGCAGAGGCTGGAAGGATTCTCGTCTTCCCATGAGGTCAGCTGACCTGCTTTGATCTTTGCTTTGGCATCCCCCGACTTGGTGGCATGGAAGCCCAGGGGCTGGGCAGTCCCTGGGAGCACCAAAGCCAGCAGGGAGGGGATGTCTGGGCTCTGGGGGGTGATGTGGGGGGGTGCTGCTAGTCATATGCTATAACCTGACATTTCCTTACAACGTCTCTCCATTCACTGGTTACGTGGATTTCCCCCTGTTGGAACGACCTCTGCACGGTCAGTTTTTTTTTTTTATAAACAGGTCTGTGCTTGATTTGACAAAATATTGTTGATTTTTTTTAAAAAAGATTTATTTATTTATGCATACAGAATTGGGGTACAGACCAGAGGTGCAGGGGCGGTGAGAGGATTCATCAGAGACAGTGGTAAACAGAACAGACAGAATGATGAAGAACACTGCTGAGGGGAGCAGCAGGCGGGTCAGGAGAGGCCTGTGGCTCCCTGTGGGTCACCTCCAGGATAAGTGGGGATCAAACTCATGCTGCAGTGGCTTTCGCTTCTTAGTGCTGTGCTTTACCCTGCTGCGCCACCAGGGGGGGCCCGCCAAAATGTCATTGATTTTTTTGTCTGCATGTAAAGGGAAGATTAATCTCTAGGTCTCTCTTTCTCTGCCTTTATAGAGTGAGAGAACAAGGAGGGAAAGTTGAAAATAAAATAGAAATGCTTGACATTTGGATTTTGGGATTTAAAAAAAGCTGACAAATATCACATCATTTAAAATTCTGGTATAGTAAAAGTAAAACAGGGCCCTCTTTCAACACTGTAATCACCCATCGAGTCTGGGAATATCACACTTCTTTAAGCAATTCGCTAAGCTGTGTTGCATCCTTGCTGTACGCTGACATGTTTTTTGAATCACCATCAAGTTTCCTGAATTATAAAATTTAGCTGGAGTAATACTGCACAAGCCTTTGAAAGAATGAAATTATTCTGAGAGTCTTCGTAGAGCAAGATAGAATATATTAGCATGTTTTTTAGTTCAGAGAAACTCAACTTTTTTTCTGGGAGTCAAGAGTTTGAGTTGAACTAAAGAAAAAATGCATTCATGTTGAGACTTTCCCTTCGGGGGAGGCTCTAGCCTACAAACCCTTCCTGGCAGCAGTCAACTGACCTCTGCTCTTGAGATCTTCATCTTTCTGATCTTAGGTTTTCCTTATAAAGAGGAACTTGCTTGCTTCCTCCCCACATTTTAAGAACATGATAGCTGCACTGAGCAAACTGGACCAGTTCCTTCCTCCTTTCCCTTTCCTCTGGGGTCATTAAAACAACACAGCAATTTTCTATCTCTCCAAAGTAATGCTCTAAGGCCCTCCCTGGTGGCGCAGCAGGTTAAAGCACAACACTGAGAAGCTAAAGCCACTTCAGCATGAATTTGATCCCCGCCCGCCCCGGAGGTGACCACATGGCACGAAAGACCTCTCCTGGCCCGCCCGCTGCTCCCCTCAGCAGTGTACTTCGTCAATCTGCCTGTTCTGCTCCCCACTCTGTTTCTGGTGAAGCCTCTCACTACCCCTGCACCTCTGGCCTGTACCCCAGTTCTGTATGCACAAATAAATAAATCTTAAAAAAAAAAAAAGTAATGCTTTAAAACAACTTCAGTGAACTGAAAAGTGTAATGAAATTTGAGTGGTGACCAGGTGGGTTTCCTTCCCAACATGGCATTCCCAACGGGGGCACAGTTACCCAAGTTGTCCTAGAAGGGTTCTGTGGCTGGGAGCATCAGGAAGCCTCCCAAAGACAGCCCTCTGCTCGGAGTAATGACCACAGATCCCTGACCACACGGGCACTCTGCCGTATCGCGCTCCCTCCTTCCCTGTGGGACCAACGGTATGAGAAGCTCCAGGTGGCCAGATGGCACCCTCGCTCCCCGGATGGAGGACCCTTTGTGCAGTCTCCCCTGTTCAGAGGCTTCCTCTGTGGGAAGCAGACCTCTCAGATAGCCAGGCCCAGTGTTGCGGAGACAGGAAGAGTTTTTGCAAGTGGGCCATGGAGAAAGTTCAGCCTCACGCTGGTTCCTGGAACAGCAGCCCTTTCCCTGACCCCGCTTTGGAGAATGCTGGAAGAAACACTTTCCGTCAGCATTGTTGCCAGAGTCCCAGTGTCCTTCCTGGAGGGGACACACCCTTCAGTCCATCTGGGGCCTGGGCCGTGAGTCAACGTGAGGGGGCACAGCTCCCTACGCTGGTGACTCAGCTCCCTCCCGTTCCCGTCCAGCTTTTCCCTGTGCAGATTAAAACATGAACAGGTCTGACTGCTTCAGTCCAAGTACAACAGGATTGATCAACTTCTGCCAAAGGTCTCCGGGTCGAAATGTATCGCCTGTCTGCTCCCCT